TTTTTTAGAGCTGAATCTCTTTCTCTCATCAATTTCCATAAATCATCATTCATCCAAGGTAGGGGACTTCTCCCATTTTGCTTTACCTTTGTTACTTTTGTATATTTAGAGATAATTTGCTGAAACACTTCCATTAAATCAAAAGATGAAACGTTACAGTCTTTAAACTCAATACTTTCGTTCCAATTAACCTGTCTTATCTCATTATCAAATAACTCAATATTTTTTCTTGGAATGTAAGATACAGAGTCATTTGAATCTGCACTATTTAATTTTCTATAGCGTGCCTTTGACAGCTTCCTGGCAACTAATGTTAAATTATGGTCAGATAGTCCTGTTATTAGATTGTACACCTTTGTGATACGGTCGGTTTTATTTGTGAAAATTAAGTCAATAAGTGTTTGCGATGTCTTTGTAACCCGAGTTGGTTTTTCAATAATTTGCATAAAGTTGAATTTATGGGTCATTTCTTTTAATTTTCTTCTGGCTTGCTTATCTAACCAATTAATATTAAAATCCCCCAAAAGAAGGACTTCTTTTGAGTTATTTTTTTTTAAAATATCACTTAGGTGGTCAAAAAATTCATTATTAGTTGAAGGAGGTCTATATAACACAATGACAGCAAATGACATTTCAGGAGACAGTCGAATGTTCACTCCCACACATTCCAAGGCATCCCCTACTGTATCTATTTGAGAACACTGAAAATGGTCCTTAACATAAAGCATTACTCCGCCTCCTTTGCCATATCCACGGTCACGCCTGTATATATTATATCCCGGGATATGGAGAACTGTATTTGAGATGGAAGGTTTCAACCATGTCTCTGAAAGTCCCACAAAGTCCAGATTTGATTCAGTCAGCAGCTGTTCAATTTGTTCTGACTTGGGCACAACACTTCTTATGTTTAAGTGCCCCCCAAATACACCTCTGGGCTTGACTTTCGGGTCCCACAGTACTTTAGCGTGATTTACAGTCTGAAATAGTCTGTATTGGCGTTGTTTATTATAAGCAACTGAATGACACAACGCGGATGGATGGAGTGGGTGCGCTTGGTCACATGACAATGGCCAATTTTCTTTAGCTCTTTTGGGTTTATTTAATCGAGTTTCTGCGGTCTCCAGACAAGGTAATTCAGTGTTTGATATTTCTATGGAAGTACCCGATGACACATCTTGATGTAATGGTACCTCAGAGCGGCCACGGGAAAGCTCAGCTTGTATTATATCAGGAGAAACCCCCAATATTACAGTCCCCGGATCGCTCACAGTTACTGACAGATACGATGTCAATCCGTGTGCTTGTGGTGTGTGTCCACGTTGGTAACTCACTGCGCACGGCGTGGTTGAAGCAGGTCCACACGAAGGTGAGACACCTGTAGCTCTGGTTAGCTCCCCGCCGACAGCAGGTCCTGGGTTTGCGTGGATGTCCCCGCACAACAGCAGAAAGGTGCACATCAAAGCTGGTACAGGTGATCTTTGGCAGCGCTTTCCCCAATGGGAGTTTGCAGTTCCATGAAAAACTGCGCGCCCTTGTTTAAGCACGGATGCGTAAACAGCGTGCTTACTCCACGAGTTGACAAGAGGTGGTATGAGCGCTTGGATGCTACCTGTTGTTTGGCGGCGACAGCATGCGCTTTGCCAGTCACTCCACATTGACAGCAGCACAACCGCGAACACACAGATGGTTGTGCACACATACTTTTTAGTGCTTTGTTGCCCAGTAAACGCCATATTTCGGCGTTTAATCATCCTCGTTACTTCAGTCCTCCACATTAGATTCCTCGCTGTTGCATTGGATTCAGTGGATAAATACGTTTGCAAAATCCACTTTCTAGAGCTGTCAACCGCTGTCAACACGGCCAACCACCAGAAACAGACCTGCAGTGAAAACCACAGACCATTCCATGGCCTATTGAGCCTTAGGCACAACTTTAGTCGGCAAGTTTGTGCCATTTTTTGCGATCAATTTTGTTGCTGCCCCCAAATGTGTACACAAAAGTTGGGTGTTGGGCAATATGGCGTCAATGTGTGTTATTTTCCCCTGAGAAATTGTAAATATTATATAATGCAATGCAGCTCCATTTAGAGACTAACATATATACTATAGACTATACATAAAATCTAATCATTTTTAAGAGCCTCCAAATCTTTAGGGAGCTCCTTCCATGGGTGTGGTGAGCTACTATGACTACCAAGGCTACTAACTCACTAAACTAAACTGAACTAAACTGTCTTGAAACTAAATTCTGAATACTTTTCTTCACTACATATCCACGCTTACCATAACGACTCTCTGATTGTGCACGAACACCCATGAAAACACATTGATCAAAACTGTCCTTCTACTGGTCTGAAAATCAGATAAGAGGAGGTTTAGAGGTCTCACGCAAAATGGATGAAATGCTCATTTGATTTCCACAAAAGCACGAAGGTCGTTTGTGCCGACGTAATGAGGCCGAGAGATCGATCCGTGCGGCTACTCCAGTGAAGCAGCGCTAACCCGATCTCACAGGGACTGAAGATGTGAACGCTCCAAACCTTTTCTGCACAATTCTGATTAAAGTTTAGGATCTGTTTTTTTTTTTTTAGATCCATTGTCAACGCAGGTCTTGTTTATTGATATGTCAAGAGCTGATCATGTAATATCACGGCACTTTAAAGAGCCTATTGCTTAACATTGTGGTGGAGGGTAGCTGAAAACTCCTTCCTGGTAACTATGGTAACAGACAAAATCCACATGAAACAAAAAAATTGTCGGTATCAACTATGGTGTAATAATTTTCTCATAAAGGAGTCGAGAAAAGGTGATATGACAATAATATATAACAATATTGATGTTATATGATGTCGCAGAGTACAAAGGACAGTCAAAAATAAGAATAGTATTGCATGCTGGTGAATATTAGTATTTGTCTTTCCTTCCTGCCGCTGTCAGATTGTACAATGAAGATTGACCTTCAGAAAATGTGCAGTATGGGACCACATGTGTCCCCTGTCACTTTACTTACTGCTGCTATAGCATGTACAGTAGAATCATCATCACTCTATTACGAATATTGGAACTCACAGCTAAAGCTAAAGATAGTGATTTTGTTGTATTGTCCTGTTCCTCACTTATTCATTCACTTCTCTTGTGTTGTGCGTTCTTACTTACTACTTACTTACATTCATGTTACATGAATAACAAATCTCTTAATCTCAATGAACTGGGAAAATATTTGAATATATATATTTTTAAATGTTTTTTTCATTAAAGTGATAGTCTTGAACTCTAAATAAATTACACTTTTTAAAAATTGTGTTAAATTGACCTCCTGGCCTTAAAAGTTGACATGAAATAAGTAATTTTATAAATTCCAATATTACGGGTAAGTCCCGCCTTCCCTTCTCTTTGCTATAGCTCAGAATCCACGGTGCCGTCGAAGTTAATCAATCGAGTCATGCTGTCAATCATCGGCGCTGATACTCGCAGCTGCGCGCATGCTCAGTTGTTTGTTTTTGCGGAGCCTCCGAATCAAGCCTCCATTAGGCTCTGGAACTACATGAAAACTGAACAAAGAATTCTGAACATCCGCGCTGAGTTACTTATTTTTATACTGAGCCTATATCCATAATCAGATCCTCTGCAGATGTGTCCTATAATGTTCAATCAATGAAAATACCTTCTTCCGGGTTTTCCGCGATCGCTTTTTTTGTACATTAAAACATTATTTTTGTCATGAAAACGTAAACAAATAATTCTGAAAACCTCTGTGCATGTGTATTAATAATGTTTATGTACAGTATAATGTGTTCTCCGATTAACATTTAAATGTGTTACGGAAACGTAGGTGTAGACCAATCAGAAAGGAAGGGGGAGGGAGCTTGGGTCGTTTTTGTACCTCTCTCTCTTTTTTCTCACAAACTCCAGACAATCACTTTAATGGCTTGTATTGGTACCTGCCAAAACCAATTAAAAAGAAAGGCCACCTATTGAACACAACAAAGCAAAAGCTACAACGGACAAACTCAGGCTCGTGGGCCAAATCCTGCCCGCAAGACAATATCTGGTAGCCCGTAAAATTATTTTCAATTACTAACTTGCAGCATTGATGATTATGAGCTACCAAGGCACGTTATACATCTTTATTTTTTTTTTTTCAGGAAAGCAACTAAATTTAAGGTATTCTAAAATGTTAATCCAACACATCACAAGCGAAAAAGAGTTACATTTAAAACAATGTGTTTAACTTTATAATTGACCCAGTTGGCCCAGGACAAACACATTTTGGTTTCAGAAAAATCCATCAGAAAATAATAGCGAAACCCATGTCATATTATGTCGCCCCTAATAATAATATTATTATTAGGGGCGACAGTAGCTCAGTTGGTAGAGCACTGGCCTTTGAGCCTGAAGGTCGTGGGTTCAAGCCCACCACGGGACCTTCTCCACCGACTCCCACTGATGACTGCTGCTGTTGTGTCCTTGGGCAAGACACTTAACCCTGCATTGCCTGAAGCCCCCGCTGAAAAATCAAGGCCGTATTGTCACTGACAGAGCAGCCGTCCTCCTGTGGACTCACCACCTGCAGAGGATCAGTGAGGGGCTGGTGCTAAGTGAATTGGGTGCAGCTCTGACTGCCACCCCCCCGACCCAGAAATGGATTAAGGGGAAGAAGATGGATGGATGGATGGATGTCATATTAAAATAATTCATAATATAAACAACAATTATAAGATAAGGAAATTCCTTCTAATGTTTTGGCCCCCAACAAGTTCCTATTTTTTTTTTTTCTTCAGCCCCTGACCAAATGACACCCCTGCTTTACATAATTAGTGCTATCCTCACACACCCTGAACTTGGAGCTCATTTGAAAACATAACACATTCACTTCTCACATTTCAATCATTCACTGCAATGAGTTTATTAGCGTTGTTTTGCATGCACGTTTGATGACTTTGACTTTCTCGGCACGTACGTACGTATTTTTCCTGAGAGGATGTCAGGTGTGTTCTCACCTCTGAGTTTGTTCTGGATGTCCAGCACTATGTCCAGGGTGAAGAAGGGCAGCACTGGGTCATTCACCAGACGCAGGATGGCCTCTGCGGTCATCTGTGAACAAAAACAGAAATCCAAACTTTCTTGAAGCTTTTTCAAAGAGCTGGGTCAGATAACATTAGCACTTTAGTGAGTTTTAGTTATCTTTGGATGAAGGTAGAGAGCTAAGTCATTTAAATGCAAGCAATCCAATATGGGTCAAGCATTCCAATGTTTTTTTTAAAAACTGCAGCGTTTCACGTTAATCCCGCTAAAATCCAGGTCAAAAACAGTTCTGTTTGGCTGTGTGGACTGTATCTGTTTATTTTTTTATTTATTAAAGGGACAGTGCATATTAATATACATTATACATGTAAAATATGTCAGAATTAGCCTAAGGGTGATTTTCCATCTGTAGTCCCTGGACATCTTCACTATTTTTAAATGTACAATGATTAATCATGATTCTAGTATTTCTTCTCTTGTTTTGTTAAAAAAAATAAACTGTAAAAAAAAAAAAAAAAGTATAAACGTGCACTTTTTTGTTGCGTAGGGAAAATTTGTCCTCTGCATTTGACCCATCCTGAGGCCACTAAAGCTTCCGTCAGGAGCAGTGGTCACTGTAGTACAGCGCCTGGGGACCCATCTCCAGATCTTGATGCCGTGCATGTTATCGTGCATGTTTTTAATGGTAGGCGAAACCGGAACACCCAGAGGAAACCTTCACAGACATAGGTTGAATATGAAAACTCGTCTTGCCAAATAGCCATTAAAATGAATCTTGGATCTTCAGTAACCAAGGATTTCAGGGAATTGTCTCATCGAGCTAAGCAGTTCAGAAGTGCATGTTGGCTGTCTTTCACTTGCAAATGGGCATAAAAAAATTGCCACACAAACGATAGTCTTCCTGTTTTAAGTGTTCCTAAAGCTTGCACAATACTTTAGCAGGAACACTTGTACTGCACATACTGAACAATGATAATGTCAAGGGAATTTCATGAATGCATATAAAGCAAACTCTGAAGGGAAGAGGGCAGACTTTAAATTGAGTTAACCTTCAAGCTGCAAGCACGCAAATGCCTTGACAAAACTAAGTGGGAAAGTCATAATACCTTACAGACCTTTCAGAATGTCAACAGGTCAATAAATGAATGTATGTGAGAAAGAAGGCATTAAGGAGACAAATTGTTCAAAGCAAACTTTTAAAAAGCTAGGTACCTCCATCTGGTTAAAACAAACATGAAGCTTCAGAAACTTCTCAGGACTGCGAGAACTCCCACGGCCAGGCTTGTACAAAAGCAGCTCAAAAAAAAACCCACAGTCAGGGACCCCGGGACAGGGGTCCAGTGAAAAAAATTTAGTTTTTCACTGGAATTATTAAAAGAAAGTAATGTATAAAGGTTTTTCTTTTACTCACTTTTAATACATGCTCGAACTGGTGATTATAACTTGAAATAACAGTTTGTTGAAAGGCTAAATGCTAACTGCACACAGTAAACAGTGTGTTGCTACGGTAACAAGCACTGGTTATGATTCTCTTGTGGAAAAATTATTGCTCTTTCATAATTATAATGACATAGAATAAACTACAGATAGAGAAAAGGTGACAAAGGAATGAAACCGTAAAAAGGTACAGACGTTGAGTAATTACACATCCAATCTAAAAGCCGCCAAATTGATTGCTCTGGGAGTTTGGGTGTTACAGATGGGGTCCCTAACTTTTTTCATACAAGTTGTTTTTACCAATAGAAAGAGTAAAATACTGAACAAATCTGACATGCCGTCTTTATATTTGAAAATATTTTTTTTGCATTCCAACAAAGATCATTGAGTCACTATTTGGCGCATTGAGTTGAGCGCTGATTGGCTGAGTGAGGGCCAATCTCTTATTTTCGCATTTCTGTCTGAAGTTGTGACAGAAGCCAACAAAACATACTGTACATGCATGGGACAACTAGTAATGGAACCAAAGTATTTTGAAAGGGTGTATGGATTTTATGTTTTGTGGCATGGAAATTAGGTACCCCAGCTTTAATGTGAATTTTGTTGAGCCTTTTGAATCACACACAGGGAAATAAAAAATCACTGTTGGCTGTGTGTACAAACAGACGCTGGCCTGATGGTGTTGAGCAGAAGAATCAATAGAAGATGTAATTTATAGCGCTGCGGACACTGGGAAATGTCACTTTAACATTTGGTACTGCGCTGCTCCTCGGCGCTCCATACATTTTTAATATGTTGACATTATGGATAAAGCTACCTCCCTCACGTGACCTTTGTCCAAATGATCTTGGTACATATGTTATCACTGATTTCTATACGTGAATGCTATTAGTATCTAAAGGTTGTGTGAGAAATTCTGTGTGTTTTTGTGTGTGGGTGTAAAATTAAAAAAGGTTATAACGTCAAAAAGTTAGCAGCTTTTCAGAATTGGTGCAGTCCAGTTATAGCCCAATATTTACAAGCTTTCTGAAGACGTATTGTGTGTCGTTTGTTGTGTGTTGTGCGTCACTCCCACCTTTGTTCAATGAAATCTAGGCAGGACTTGAAATGTTATTGATAATGATAATTCCAAACAAACAATTACCAATAAATGACTCACCAACAGCCAACATTTTTGGATTTGTATTATTCATTTCTCTAATTTCTTCTAACTTCCACACTTTTGTTTTGTAGCCGTTTGTCAGCGAAAACAGATGAAAAAGACCCAGTGGATTGGCCCCTGTCATCCTTAAACCATATATTTTACTTATTCCACATGATCTCATGGTTTTTGACAACAATCACAACAATAGTCCGTTCATTTTCAGTGAGCCTTTTAATCTCATGCTTTCCATTCCAACAGTTACCAATTGACAAATTATGTTTAGGTTGATTTTTTGAGTTCTGGCGACCATTTGCACTAAGTAATAACCTTGGAATACTCATGATGCTGTGTCTGCTCCAATCATTTCAAACAACAGCCTGGAAACTCAGATCAAAATACTTGCATGGATTTGGGGACCAATCACAGAACAGGGAGAAATGCTTATCTTTCCTCATATTTCACATGAAAACACTGTAGTAATCGTTTGGCACCATTGTGTAAACATCATTCGTCCTTTTTCGTCACTCCACTTCTCGCCAAATTTATGTCCACAACATTCATTACAAAGTGGAATAAATACACTTTCCGCATAAGTGCAGACGTATATATGTGTAGCTCCCAATAAACAGTTATCGACAGCCGTAAACCACACCACTCCTCCAAGAAGACGAAAGGACTGAGAGGCATCGATGCGCCAGTGTGTTTGGGGTTTTGCTTCTCATCACTGTGTGTAAGGAATGGAAATGACTGCTTTAACAATAATTGTAAAGCGCTTTGAGTGATCTTGGTCTGTGAAATGTGCTACACAAATAAAAAAATACTAAAAATTCAAAAATGCGTTATTAATTTCAAAAGAAGGTACATTTGGGTATGAGCTCTATAAAAGCAGTCTTTGTAAGTGGTGAGTGTTTGTGTGGGCAGCTGTGGTTTAATGACTCTCTGGATTTAAACCAGACGATACAAAATAGTGATTTATTTTCATATAAAAAAAAGAAATCAACAAAAGTCTCACGTTACTTTTTACATCAGTGCACTATTACGCATCCAAATGATTTCATCCATCTTCTAAATTGGCTTCTGAGACGTGGGTGCAGTGACACACATCGACCACCAGAGGGCTCTAGTGCAACACGCTTCTCCTTTTCTCCCCATCATTCAGAAACAGCCATTGCAGTGTATCCTCTGGGGCAGAACGTTCAGCCAAATCTAACTTCATCCACCATCTCCAGAAGGAATGAATGTTGTCATAGTGCAAAACAGGGCCAGCATCTTCTTAGTGTCTGGAATACACTGTGGAATTAAACATGTTTGTTGTGCATTTATTGAACTGCATACAGCTTCATTAGCAACAAAGATGCCCTGAACAATCACAATATGAGCAGATCACCTGTGTGTAGACTTCACTTATAACATGTACTGGTGGGGCTACATAATTACAAAGAGAGAAAAGTGTACGGCCATAACTGGGAGCATTATAGACATTCCCACGTAGACCTGGCAACAGATCGTCCACGTCAGAACGTCAGTACATTTTGCAGCTTCCATTATATGGGAAAGGCTTTATTCCACTAAGAGTAAGGTTTCTTTGGAAAGTACACTGGGATCTTAAAATGCATGGCGTTGAAAGACCACAGCGCCATGTTTTTAAAAATGCAAATTTTGATTGCACTCTGTATTTAACCATGTTTTTACAGTGTCCTTAGGTGTTTTAAATAAAATGTATTATTATTATTATGTGGTCTTTCCTACAGAGCAGAAGGCCTGGCAGAAGTTTTACAATCTGAGGCAGAGAGAGAGTTTGTCTACAAATCTTCAAATCAATCATCCCACTTTAAGACCCCAAAAAATCTTTGTGACGCTCTCAAGGCGCCTCCTAACTTTGGAAAAACTTTGGAACAGTTATTCTCAATCAAATTGCTATCATATACAGTATACTGCAATTTGTCAAACATAATAAAACAATATCTTGTTTACTTTCACCATTTAATTGTTACTCAACTGCAGCAAATCAGCCCATTTCATTTCCACAGCACAAATAAACAGACTGTGTTTCCAGCTTTTGACAAAACCAAACAAAACAATTGAACACTTGCGGCGGGGGACAGTATTTCATCTCATTAAAACAAAATGAGAGTAGCCTATTCAAATACAGACATTTCTAATAAACGCATGGCTGCAACAGCTGTCCGTGTCACAATAGGATCCGAATGACCAGGTCACGTGCCAGCTTAACCAGAGTAGAAACAATTATCTAGTTTGATCCAGTTTACATGTGCAAAATCAAATTAAATTGGACTAAGAGAATGATCTGATTTGCACAAACGTACTCAGGTCGTGACTGGACACAACACAATTTAGTTAAAACGGTCATAAAACTGTTTTAGCGCTCTTCTGAGCAGAGACAAATGACAAAAATAACCCTAGTTTCAGCTAGTTAGTCTCTGTTTTGATATTTATCACTTAAATCATCTGGAATAAAACATGATTC